ACATACACACACATATATAAATTTAACGATGTAGCCAGTCAGTGGAGCTTACTCACAGTACTGTTTCTATTCTTCACAATTAATTGTGGCATGCACAGTCTTAATGTAACAAATCTCAGCCTTGTTTTTCATCTAAACTTTTCAAAAACATAGATATGTCATCTCTGTGTGTGCATGTGTGCATGTGGGAGTGTGGTGGAGGGAGTTAGCTATATATTCTATATTGAATCAGAATATCTAGGAGTTAGACTACAGGAATTTCCAGGTTATTCTGATGGGTAGCCAGGGTTGGAAACTACTATTAGGTCTTCTGCTTAAGCAGAGTCTGGTTCTGATGGTGTAGCTTGACCAGGTCTCTTCGAATGGTGTCCAAACACTGATCATGCTTGCATATGGTTATAACTTAACAAGGTTCCTATTGGTTGGCACACGTGGAACAATCTATTTATGATAGTCAGAATTATGTGATAACCCAATAACTCATGTCCTCTATATTTCTCTCCCCTTGAGTAAGATCATGGTTTTTTAAATACATTCTGCCAATCTTTGTCTTTTTATTGGAATGTTTAATTCATTTACATTTAATGTACTAACTGATAATGTAGGATTTCCATTTTTCTATTTGTTTTCTATATGTCTTATATTTTTTCTGTTCCTATGTTATTTTCACTAATAAATTCTGAGTTACATAGTTTCAAGTGTGGCATCTTAATCCCTTTGCTCCTTTTGCTATATTTTGGAGTTATTTTCTTAATGTTTTCCATGGGTATTACACTTAACATCATAATTTATCACAATTTAGTTTATTTTAATATCCACTTAATTTCAATAATTTATTAAAACTTTGTTCCTAGCTGAATTTCCTCCTTTCTCCTTTGTCATATTATTGTTATACAAATGACACCATTATACATTATTTGCCTATCAACAGATTTATAATTATTACTTTATACAGTTGTATTTAAAATGTTATGGAAGAAAATAATTACAAAGGCTTTATAATGCCTTTATATTTACCTATGTACCTATATTTATCTTTACTAATGTTCTCCATTTCTTCATGTAGGTTTTATTTACTGTCAAGTGTCCTTTAATTTTCTCATGAAGAACTCTCTCTAGTATTTCTTATAAGGTAGGTCAGCTAGTGACAAATTCTCAGTTTTTGTCCACCTGGGAGTGTTTTAATTTTTTTTTCTCTCTCTCTCTTTTTTTTTTTTTAAGGATACTTTGGCTGGGTATAGAATTCTTGCTTAATAAGCCTGAGTCAGGTCAAATAAAGACAACCCTTCACATGAGAGTTGGTAGAAAACTGAACTGGTCAAATAATGACGGTTCTCTGGGAACCCACTAGTAGCTGCTAGACTGCTCATATTTACTGAAATTGTGAGGCTGTTAGTTTCCAAGTGTATATCAGCACCGAGAAGAAAGGGATGGAACTTAAAACACCATATAGTTTGTTTTTCTTATAGAGATTATTGAGTAACAATTCCTTGTTGCAAGCCTTTGATTAATTTCCAGATTCCTGAAAAAATTTTGCTTTTTGTTCTTTTGGCTTTTATGAAGGAGCAGATTTTTGAAGTCCTTATTCTGCCATTTTCTCTAACATTACCTTCCTTAGCCTATGTTAATTCTTCAAACAATTTTTAAAAGATTCTTTACATTATCTCTTTGAAAGTGGAATAATAATATCTGACCTGTCTCATTTTAGTTTATGGTAAGAACTAAAAGGGATAATATAGCTAAAACATAAGTAAGCAAAATAAGGGCAAATTGAAATGAAATATATACTGTTATAGTTCTTTTATTAAGATATATACCAGTATTAGTCTAATGTTCTGGCAGAGATGCCTGGCTCTCCTCAACATTTGTGCTTCCTCTTCCAACGTGTAAAGTTATTGCTGAGAGATGATTTTCTAGCCATGGACTATATCTTTAGCTCTCTACCCCTTACTAGTATATCTAGGAGGGATCATGCAATTGGTTTTCACCAATGTATTGTACACAGGATGTTAATGCTTAGTCAGAGGAGTTAAGGGATGTTTGTACATCTCTTTTCCCTTCTTTCAGTTTGATGCAAAAGGGCATGGTGACCTTGGGGGCCATGTGTTGAAGACAATAGAGCTGTTAAGATGGAAATCCTTACTCAAAAGAGCACCATTCTAGATTTATTTATTTATTTATTTATTTATTTATTTGAATGAGAAGTAAACTTCTGTTATCCAGGGGTGGGCAAACTTTTTGACTCGAGGGCCACAATGGGTTCTTAAACTGGACCGGAGGGCCGGAACAAAAGCATGGATGGAGTGTTTGTGTGATGCAAGAGGCACTCCTACAAGATAAGGCTAACATCTGGGTTAATATATTATCCTGTATGCAATAGCAAGACTTTGGGTAAAATTATTTGACTTGACCATGTTAATTTGAGGATCTGAGAGTGAGAGCTTCTACTAAAGTCAGCCAATGTGGGCTTACCTCGACATGACAATCTGGGCTGGCACAAATAGCTGATGAAATGCTCTGTGGTCAGAAGAGACAATTTATAGCTGTCAGGTTGGGGGTTGATGATGTGTCCCCTAAGGAGTAGACCCTCCAATGAATAAGTGACTAGCCTTTAACTTCCTAGATAATATGTTAGACTGGAAAAGTCTGGGTTCCTTTTATGTAGGTCGGGGAAAACTTCCACAGGCCAAGGTCAGACTCTTAAAAGAGGCTATTCGGGTGGAAATATCTGGCTTGAACATTGATGTCAGTTGTAATATCTGGAGAGTCATTCTGGGAGTCAGGAATGACAGAGAAAATGCCATACTGTGGAAACAGAGGACACTTGCGGTGATTTTGGACACATATGAGATACCCCAGGAACCCTTTGAATCAGAAAATGGGCTAGGGAATCTTGAAATTTTGCCAGTGACTGTTCTATAAAGGATAGTTCTGTAGTTGCTCCATTGTGGCATACATTTATCATTGAACCATCAGACTTTTGAAACCTGAGGAAATGCAGCCTACACACATATGCTATGATGAGCTGGGCTACGCAGCTTATAATGGAGGCAGAAAAAGATGCTGTGATATGCGTCTCTCCCTTGCTCATTCTCTTTTACTGTCTGAATTTCACTTTTTCTCCCTCCCTAATTGTATGACCACTGGGACTAAAGATCCTGTGGATGGAGTTCTGAGAAATCTAGGGGAATGTTGTAATGAGAAACTGTTTCCCATTGATCTTCTTCTCTCCCAGTAAGCTCCGTATTTGGACTGCTTTGGGCGTGGGGGGAATCGGGCAAGGGCAAACATCCAGGAACTTACATTGTCAGGAGCTTTGTGGTTTAGACTCAGAAAGGCAGTGAACTGATAATGATGGCAAGCAGAGGTTAAATCTCCATCTCATCATCAAACTGGGAAGAATAAAGGATTTGTATTCAGTCACACAATGTGGAATGAGGGCAGCTCTTAAAATGATTGCTTAGGGTTCTTTTTAGCACAGCTTCTGTTTAGCTGTATGTGACAGAGTCTGCTCAAAAAGAAACTTTTGACTAGATATATAATAAATGAGAGATGCCCTTGGGAAAAGAGAAACACCTGTTTTCCCCTCACTTAGTTCAACTCCTACCCATTAATTACTTAGGAATATTTAGGTGGCAGGCACGCAGAGCACAGCACCCCTGAGCCCTAGCCCCTGTCCCAACAAAACTCCCTTTGGCATTTTAAAATTAAGGGTTATTTTTTTTCTCCTTTGGCTAACTGGTTTGCTTTTATACTGCCTCTATGGGGCCCGGGGAATACCCATCCCTGAACATACACAAATCCAAGCTTGAAAAGCCTGGTGTGAGAATGATCCATAGAAACAGGGGAAGGCCTTTGCTTTTGACCATACATGGACCTTGGCACTGCGATGTGGGGAATTTGCACGGGCTCTTACACAGCTTCTGGCCTGTGCCCTCAGCGGGCAGCTGTGCTTTCTTTAGCATGGATGCTTCCGGAGAGTGACGGCCCCTTGGGAAGTTTCCCCCTCGACAGAAGAGCCCTGTCCAGGACGTTAGCCAGAGCAGACATCACTCAAAAGGAGATGTTTCCTGAACATCTTCTCCTTTTAAATCCACTCCACTCCTCACCATAGCTTTGCAAGAACCCCTTTTATTGCCACCTCTCACAAAAGTTTTTAGAATGTTTCTTTTCCACTTAATTGACTTTCCAATTTCTTACTCACACTTGGCTTCTGTCTTTGTTTTACTTCTGTGCGAGTTGAAAGCAGTATTATTTAATAGTCACATATATACCTTCCCGTAGGGCTACATCCTTGTTACAAGTCCATAGCTCCCCATTTTATTCCTTGAAATCAAGAGGAAATCCCCCACCAAAACGAGTTAGATAATTAGCTTGGCTACTGTTTGCTGCAGAAAGCATTTTGGGTTGGCTCTGGTCATTGTGCCTCAGCTTTAGGGCTGGGCCTCCCTTTCAGTGCAAGGGGCAGTCAGCACTAGTGCCAGCCAACCCCTGCTCCCTTACCACAAGCCCCTAATTGTTTATTAATGAAGCTTTCGCCAACCAAATCTACACATTGTCTAAACCTTCTTCCCCCAGAGAGCATTCCAGCCCGCCCACGAAAGTGCATGGTGGGGCCGCTCTCCAAAAAGCCTCATTCCGTCCTTGGTAGAGTTGGTTAGAATTCAAACTTTTTTTTTTTTACTTTTATTGGCAGCACCAACTAAATATGAGATCATTTCTGACCCCTTCTAACTGGCAGCACAGGTGTCACCACTCAAAGCTGAGCTCGCTTCTCTGCCCAGTGCCCCCTAAGAACCGTGTCCCTCTCCGCTCCGCAGTTGGTCTCCGGGCCTAGGAGACAGGACAGCCCTGGTGGAAACTCCTCCCAAACACCCAGTGGATGGAGCAGCCCAGCAGGAATAAGCCAACAGTTTCTGCTTGGTATTTGAACATCATTTAATGAGTGCCCAGAATTCATCTGTAAATGCACATTGTTAATTTAGGGCCTGCTATTCATTAATTAGGGCTTTAGTGGCAAGTGCCATTGAGCTATCTGCAATGTTTAAGGTTATGTCAAGCCCTAGTAAACGGCTTGCTGATAACAAGCTGCATCCATCTTCATTACTCCGCCACTCCTGTCTGACTTTGCTCAGCATCTTCGAAGGGCTATGCCTCTTGGAACTGAAGAATTAAACTTTTATCCAAACCAGATTCTGCTCTTTCACCTCTTCTGATTCCCTGAGTACTTCCCATTTATTTTGCCTAAATGACATCTGATTACCTAACATGGAGTGGAGCAAGGTCTTAACCTAAAACAGCCTGCAGACCTCGGTTCTCAGCTGCAGAATTCCAGTGGGTTCACGCTAAGGAAATCCTTACATTTCCATTTCATCTGATACTGGGCTCAGTGTAAAAGAAATAGTTTCTGATTTTTCCTCTCATAAGGTTGCAGTTTCAACAGATTTTTTTTAAAAAGCCAGAGAAATACAGGAAATTAATTTTAAGCCTAGAGAATAAATGTCTCTATTGGTTTGAGTTTACTTTTGCAGTGTTTTTCTCTCTGAAAATATGTATCATTTGAGGCAATCATGGTGCCAAATGAAATAATTCCAACCATCTAAAGGGCTCGGCATGGCAAGTCTCAGCTGCACATTCGCGGTCATGTTGGAGGTACCAGAGGGGCTCCACACTGGGCTTGTTTCGCCCACAGTGGAAGCAGGCAGCTAGCACGGGCATTTAGGGAAATACTGCTCTTAAGGAAAAGTATGTAAGTGCAAGTTTGTTTATCCTTCAAATGCGAGGTTAGAGGACTTGCATAAAAACTAACTTCCATTGACAGATGGTCTCCATAAGTAGTCGATTCTGAGAAGGCAGGGCGCTACCTGGCATGGCTGTTTAACACATGAGGGTGCTTGCAGGGAGGACCTACTGCTCCCCTGAACCATGGTTCAATTTTAAGCATCACTGGCCGGGATGGGTTATTGTAACGATGTTGAGAAGTGAGCCCGAGAGCCTGATGCTCAGTGTGTGCGAGGGGAGTGGGGGAGGAGGAGGAGACTGATAGCCCAAGGGAGGGTATCTGAAAACCTGTGCACCACTGAGCTGGCACACTTATCACAGGGTGACAGTCCATACAGCGGCCTGCAGTGCATCGCTGTTTGGGGCGCCTGATGCCAACTGGCTTAGAAAATGCAGATCCCCCTTTCAGATAGAGAAAGCAGGAGGCAGAATGTCAGCTGACTGACATTCCCAACAATAGGTCTTCCTGAGCTCCGGGCGCAGGAGGGTGGATCTGAGCCACGTCCAAGTCCGAGGGGTCAGGAGTGGCTCCTCCTGGGGAAGGGCCTCCTCTCCCTCTCCCGGCTTTCGCCAGGAGCCCGCCGACCTGGCATTGGGCTGGAGGCCAGCCTCCTACCCCTTCTCACAGGCTGGCAGGAATGCCATCTTGCCCTTTTTTTCCTTTTAATTTTTTAATTAAACGGCACAATACAGATTTTTTTAAGTGAATTTATTTGTGGATGATGTTGTCCTACATCTTAATACACTCAATATAGCAAATGCCCCAGAAACCCCCCCACAAAACAAACAAAAGGCTTGGTTTATACCATTTAGTGATGAATTTATCTACATGCTATGTGATTGAAAGAGACAATCGTAGGCTGAGGATTTCTTAACTTTACCATAACGACGCACTGGGCACTTGAAGCAAGAGCCGTCAGAGGCGGACGTGCTACAGGAGAAAGCACACACTCTCTTTGGAAGAGAGAAAGCCAGGATATTGTGGTGGCAGGAGGAACAATGGAGCCAACGAAACAGAGGTCAAAGCTGAAGGTTTCTGCTAGAATCCAGCTCTATACAGGTATTTTAATTATTTTATTCCAGCAGAAAGTCTGCTCTAGAGCTTGGAGCACCGCATGCAGACCGCTGGGAAGAAAAGCACTCAATTGTTCAATTTTTATTATTCAATATTGTATTAAAATTTTTTTAGGCTCTTTGGGTCAAGGCTACTTTTAAAAGGTTAAAAGCTATTCAGAAGGGTTACCATATCCATAAAAGCAAATGAGATTAAGCCTAAAGACCGATGGAGAAAAAACAGTAATTTAGATAAACTGCTACCATCTAAAAAGTGTTTTGACTTTTACAGGAGAAAGAGAATTCAGAGATTCTTGGATTGGTTGTCATATCAAAGAAAGATTCATTAAATTTGAAGCAATTATTTTTGTGCTTTTTATTGTTTGGTGTGTTTTAGTCCAGCATCTACCTTTCTTCGGTTACATTCTTTAAAATGGTTTGGGAATTGTAATTACGTGGCTCCAAACATCCATCTGTCAACTCTTGACCTCGCTGGTTGGGCATCTGTAACATCAGACACTGTTGTCATGGAAAGAATTATGATGTTTCAATCGAATGTATCGCAAAGTTAACAAATCCATAACATGATCCGGATCACATGGAAGAGTTTAGAAAATGTGTTTCAGAGACCTCAGGGGGAAGTGAATAGGTTATTCCCATTCATGTTTATCTCCAGCGCTGGCCATTAATTGGGATAGTTTTCTATTACAGCAGAAGAGCTAAATTTCAACCTCGAACTTGAAGTGAGTACTCAAAACGTGGGGTTCAGCAACTGAGACAAAAGCCATCCAGCGCTGGCCATTAATTGGGATAGTTTTCTATTACAACAGAAGAGCTAAATTTCAACCTCGAGCTTGAAGTGATACTCCAGATCAAAACGTGGGGTTCAGCAACTGAGACAAAAGCCACTATATGCTTCCAATGTCAAGTTGTGCATTCATTTATCATTGATTGACTTGGTGGCAACTTTGGAATGTCTGCCCTTCTTGGATCGCTTTAGTTTTTGCTTAAAGTACCCAGAGATACGCTTTAGTCTGGTTTTGTTGTTGATGTCAGAAAACTGAACCTGCCAAAGGATGGATGGGACCCTCAGAACTGGTAGGTCTGTGAAAGAGGTGATTATAGCAATCAGGATTGGCTGAAATTTACTTAAAAGTCTAAAAAGCATATAGAACAGAAAATTTCTTGACATTAAAGTGAGTAGTGAGTTGATATAAAAGTTTAATTTTATCTTTTATGGAAACGGTTTGGCTTGACAAAATTAAAATTAATAGAAATACAGTAATATTCTGGACACTTTTACTTTATTTTCACTGTCCTGTGTCTGAACAAATAAGTATTCCAAGCAAGTAAGAAGAGCTAACATCTCCATTTTGTGAGAAATATTCTCTAACAAAGAGTTTTTGTGCTACATACCTTTCATTTTTACACACTCTAAAAGGAGAATGGTTGTTGTAATAATCGGATTTCTTGGATCACAGTGTCAAAGCAATGCAGATGCATCTGAGAAGAGCTAAAACAACATGATTCAAGGTGGCCGTGTCTGAAGAAAATCTGTAAAACGAAGAAATTCATTTTACAGATGAATAAATTAGGGGGTGATTATTCATATTGTGAAGGAGTCTTTAAAGGATTCCCCTAGGATTCTTTTAAAGGCTGAGCTCCACTAGTTCACATAAGTGTTTGTGTGCAGATCATTAACTATTTGACAGGCAGGCCGGAAATGCAGGTAGAGCCAAGGGGAAGAGAGAGAATGTTCAAGAGGTAGAGGAATCATTGATACTTTAGGCTCACCTACTCTCAAGATAGAAGTTGATGAAACAATAATGATAATCAAAGTAAAAATATGATATTTACTTACAAGATAAGCTTTTTACACTAGAGTTCTTGGGGACAGACTGCTTGGGTTTAAATGCCATCTCTACCACTTATTTAGCTGTGTGACTTTGGATATTAACCAAATCTACCTTTCCTAAAGGTAGGCCCCTCTGTATATTAACCTTCTAGGAATGTATGAGTATTATATGAGTTAGTATATGTAAGTATCTAGGGTACTGGCATGTAGTAAATGCTGTGCTCATGTTTCTAAGATGATTCTGGAACACGCTATTATAAAATACCAGGTGCTCTCCAAAGCAGAAAATTATTGGTGTTAATGTAAGACTTAAGACTGGAAGGGATTTAATAAACAAAATACACCTTATCCCCCCAAAAGAAAAAACAAAGTGACATTGATAAATACTAGTAAATACTGCTTTCTTTTTGGGGTTCCCAAGGAAGTCAATCTGAAATTTGACCTTCTTTGAAATTATTGTCCTAACTTTAGTTTTCTAGTGGTTTGGTAAAATTTCCAAAATCGGGAAGCACATAGAGGCAATTAGCAATCTAATATCTGTTGACTTTTTAAATGTTAAATGTCTTTGATTCACCTCTTATTAAATTTGCATTTCAAGAACAATAGTGTACCGGTTGAAATAACTTTATTTGTGGGAAAAACTTCTTGCTTAGTTGACTTTGCTTGGATGGCACAAGAATAAACTCGTTCCATGTATTCTATCCAGTGCATCTGTACCTATAGACTTTTGGGGTTGAAATAGACATTAATTGATATTTCCCAAAGGAACAACCAGTCAGAAAGTGTCCCATTCAGCTTTCCCCAGTCTGATTAAATGCATGAGCTTAACAGGTTGCCAAACCAGAACCACTGAAAATGGGCATGAAAGCTGGGGAGTGTGTGAGTGCAGACAGGATGGCATAGGAATCTCAGTTGGGTAGATGTAAGGAGGATGCTGTCGGTTCATTGTATGCATTGAGTTTTCCATTCGGGGGTCCCAGCAGGTGACAATTGGCTCGACCATCTTAATTTTGCCATGGCACATAAGAAAACACAGACTGTTTTAAGGGCCAGTAATGACAGTTCTATTACATTACAAAATGGTCTTCTAACTATCGAATGTACTCTCCTTTTGTGCCCCTTGAAACTCCTCTTCTGCTCAGGTCAGGCCTCCCTGGCTGGCCAGCCCTCTGGTCACATCAGAAGACCCACAACTCTCTCACACTCTATTCCATATCCTAGTTGGATACAGGTTGAATAAAAATGTGCTTTCTGGCCCTCACACTTAGTTTATGTGAGTGAATGCTGATGGAAATGGGTAAGTAAATAGTTTTTAAGTGCAGGAGATCAAATTACTTCCTTCACAACTTGAAGTTCTTGACAGCTCTGAAAAAATCTGCTTTTTTTTTTCCAAATGTTAAAGTGGGTTGATCTTCACCTTGCCTCACAGCAGATTGCCAAATTGTCAGCTTTCAATATATTATTTTTTGGAAAAAAAATTTTAAGTGATTTGATTCATTTGGGGGAGAAATTTCTCAAGTTCAGAAAACTTAAAACAATAAAAATCTGTAAATGCTTTTATTTCTGACTTGAGTTATATTGAATAAAAGACAGAACTTAGCTTAAGTGGGAGCTATTTTAGTTGCCTTTAGTTGGACATTTGTGTCTCTTACTGATTATTTTCTGTGGATCCAATAGCCTTTATATGTCAGTACCAAGAAATCAAATTTTGTTATACTGCTTATTACACAACTTTGCCCAAAGCAGTCTGGACTCTCAGGTTTAAATTCCCATTATATTTTCTCATTATACACATATTCTTTACAGTACATAACACAAGTGTATGAACAATTATTTGTGTAATTATTTACTTAATGTCTGTCTTTATTGGTAGACAATAAGCTCTATCATGGTAAGCTCTACCATGTTTGGCTCATTGTTATAGACCCAGTGCTTAGCATAAGAGCACACATAGTAGATGCTCAAAAAATGTATTGAATCAACCAAATTACTAGTAAATTTTCTGTCCTTATTCAGCTTAGTGGTAACTACATATCTAATATATGTAAATATTACATATGTAATGGTTGAAATATTCAAACTTGTAGAGATGGGAAATGGATAAAACATAAATTTATCCTCACTGTCCTCTACTGATCTCCAAAGGTTTCCAAAGACAACTTTGATTGCTTTTCTTTTTAGCTATTCTGATATTTAGCATCATATTTCTAAATAACATTGTACTCTTGGTTTTGTTAAGACTTCAGACAATATCTGTTGGTTTCCAGAGGAAAGATAAAAACTTTAATACATTCATACGCTTACTTTTTCCCTCTGTCTCAGGTGTGTTTTTGTTTTGTTTTGTTTTGGTGTTGTTATTGTTTGTTTTAGCTTTTCTATTAGTTATCTTTACTGCTTGATATTATCCTCTATGGTTTTCAATCACCAGCTTCAGACTGGCTCCATTTTCTCTATACTAGACGAAATGAAGAAATCAGTGCACCTACAATTTTTCTTTTTTTCTTATCCCCACTGACTTCTCTCGCAACTGAATCATTGTATTTTGCATTTTTACAGTTTAGAGCAAAATATACATAAATATCATTATTATTATCATAATTTGCACTTATACATTGGTATCATTCCATTTGTACCATTTACATTTTAGTTATGTATTCAATGTGTTTTATGAATTGTATAAGTTTGATAAAAATAGAAATATATGAAATAATCAGTATTTAAAAATGAAGAATATTACTTTTTCTAGAATCATGTATGACAAGGCACATAGAGAAAGCAATGTAATCCTATGTAGTTCCAAGCACTAAAGTCCAAAAGGATTAATATATAATATAACTTATTAATTATGAATATAATAATAAAGAAACAAAATTTATATTTTACATATTATATATATCAATAATTATTCAAAATAATATCACATTTTAGCTTGCTTAATATTTACCATGACTTTCTTTTACATCTGTTTTCCCATGCACACTACCATCCTCAACTCACCTCCAACTAATATAAATCTTTTTTTTATGCTCATTACTTTTGTGGCCTACTGTTCATTCTGAAATTTATTTCAGTGTACCTCTGGATTATATTAAACTGTTCTTAGATGCATTTTCTTCCTCTTTCTTAGATTATTTTTTCATGTTACTGAAGTATATTCTAATAATACTTTCTTTAGAAAAGGTATATGAGAGGAAAATTTCTTGAGTCCTTTCATGTCTAAAAATGCCTTTATTCTTCAATTAAGTCCTATTTATAACTACATTTGATATAGAATTCTAGGTTTAAAGTTGCTCTATAGTTTTTAATAGCCTATGTTGTTAATAAGATATTGATACCAGTCTGAGATCATGACTTTTTGAGTAATCACTCTTTTTCCTCTCTGAAAGTGTTTAGAATTTTTCTCTTCATGCTTAGTGTTCTGAAATTTTACAAAGATGTATCTACTATTGTTGTTTCCTTCTCTTGATTTTTAGATGGGTTTGTGAATTTTGGGGTTGACATTTTTTCCAGTTTGAGAAAATGTTATTATCTATTTTCTTTTGTTATTTCTTTGGTTATTCCAACTCCTTCATTGTTTATATTGTTTTCTTATAAATCACCTTTTTGATAAGTTTTGGACCTTCTGGATCTATGCACTATATCAGTGCTTCTCAAATTTTAATGCATACAAACACCTGGGATCTTATTAAAATTAAGATTCTGATTCAATAGATCTGGGTGAGGCCTATGATTCTGCTGATTCTGCTGGTGTGTGGACCACATTTTGAGCATTGAGGCTTTACATTTCTTTTTTTAAATATTTTATTGATTTTTTACAGAGAGGAAGGGAGAGGGGTAGAGAGAGTTAGAAACATCGATGAGAGAGAAACATCTATCAGCTGCCTCCTGCACACCCCCTACTGGGGATGTGCCCACAACCAAGGTACATGCCCTTGACCGGAATCGAACCTGGGACCCTTCAGTCCACAGGCTGACGCTCTATCCACTGAGCCAAACCAGCTAGGGCTACATTTGTTTTTTAAAATGTGTTTTTATTGATTTCAGAGAGAGAGAGAGCGTGCGAAAGAAATATCGATGAGAGAAACACCGATGGGAGAGAAACATCAATCAGCTGCTGCCTGCACCCCTGCTACTGGGGATTGAGCCCGAAACCCAGGTATGTGCTCCGATCAGGAATTGAGCCGGTGATCTCTTGGTGCATGAGATGATGCTCAATCCACTGAGCCACACTTGCTAGGCAGCTTTATATTTCTTTTTTTTTAAAATATATTTTATTGATTTTTTACAGAGAGGAAGGGAGAGAGATAGAGAGTCAGAAACATCGATGAGAGAGAAACATCGATCAGCCGCCTCCTGCACATCCCCCACCGGGGATGTGCCCGCAACCCAGGTACATGCCCTTGACCGGAATCGAACCTGGGACCTTTCAGTCCACAGGCCGACGCTCTATCCACTGAGCCAAACCGGTTTCGGCAGCTTTATATTTCTTGAAATAACTTTTTGCTCACACTTTTTTTTTTCATTATGAAAAATTTTATTGATTCCATCTTCTAAATTAAACTTTAGTCTTTGCTTGCTAATGTTTAGTCCACTGTTTAATTTATTTTTAGGTGATTGTATTTTTTTATTTTCAAAAACTCATAGCAGTCTTTTTAAATATTACAAATACAGTATATTCTTGAAATTTTGAGAATATTAATTAGAAATTTTTAATGTTTTCTTTTATTGGTTCCATTGTAACTGTCTCTTTTGTGGTCAATTTTGTTTATTCACCTTTGTCCCTTTTTTCTACTTAGTTTCTCTTAAATGTCTGCTACTTTTAGGTTGACAACTAAAATTTGAGCACACGGTTATGTTTATTAATTTAGATAGCTGGCATGAGTATCCTTTCAGGTCAAAAGGACCATTTTAAACAAAGGTCGCTGTACTGAATGGGAGAGCTGCCTCTAGGCTCTGTGTGGAGGGATGAACCTGGTTGAATAGTGGCTTTTTATAAACAGGCTTGGGGCACTACAGCCGCCAAATAAGCCAACTGCTCCATATCCAGAGAAAAGAGGGAAGTTGCCTAGTCCAGCTGCTTTAAAGATGGTCTTCCAGTTACAAACCCTTCTTGCTGTCCCTGGCCAACTTCTAGCTGTCCCTGTTTGGAGTCTCTCAAGAGATCTTTTAAGAAAAGTGATTATACCTCTGCTACTATTTTCTATGAGTGTATTTTGAGTTGTGATTTACTCTTCTGGAGTTTATCTGACAATACAGTCCAATCTGCCTCCTACCTTCTAAGATTTCATCAAACTTTCTGGTGTACTAATGTCCACCCCTTTTCTCCTCCCTTTTTCTGGTTTGTTTCAAGTGCTGCCAAGGATTTATTTATTTTTATATGTGTGGTCATTTCAATTGGAATTTAGAATGGAGAGAAGGCAATGTAGTTCCTATCTATCACCTTGAACTAAGAAACTATATAGCCATTTTAGAGTTGCTCTAAATGCTTACCTGAACTTGCTTAATACTTCAGCTGGCTGTTCACAAACAGGCAGACCTAACTGTAAATAGATAAATTCCCATACAAGGTCCCTCGACCTTGCTAATTATTCTTCATGGATCAAGTAGGATTTAGCAGTGTTAAGAGCTTTAGATGATTCTAAATTGTTCCCTGAGCCTCTTGGCAGTTTCATGTGTGTTAGAAGTGCCTGATCATAAAACAAAGTAACTACAGAGAGGTGCCTAAACTAAGAAGTCTAAGATAAAAGTTAAAGTTAAAGCAGAATTTGAACTGGCCTACAATTTACTTTGGAGTGTTACATATTTTGTGTTAGTTGAGCTTGACCAACTCTACCTTGGATTTGCCAAAAAAATAATTGATGTAATCACAGAGCCAAGAATGATAACATGTGAATATCTGTGGAGGATTGGCAGGACCCCAGATCACTGGGAAAAATCCAACAGAGTACCTATTTTTAAAAAGCAATAAAAAGTTGTTTGAGAATTAATGACCTTTTATAGAGTGAAAAAGCAGTGCATACTTATTACCTTGACCCAAATAGGTTTTAGACAGTCTTATACTGTAATGGCAATAATGAGTAGAGGAAGAATGTATTTATGTATTGTACCAACATAACATTAAGTATTCAAAATTGGATAAACATTTTTTGATATAAAACTATTAGATTTTTATTTATGGCTATCATTTTATTAGAATTTAAATCCATATCTTACCAAACATCTATATAATTCAAGACATCTGCATTTTGGCCACATGTCTCCATTTTTACTCACATATATGTTATCATTTAGATGTTC